AATATAATTGGAAGGATTGTTGCCTTTAGCACGAAATAAAATTGCATTTTTTGGGAAATTATGTATTATTAATGTAAAATTATATATTAGTAACATATAATTATAAATTATAAAACTATATATTATTAATATATAATTATAAATTATATAATTATATTAATATTGTACAGTAATATTACACGTAATTATATTGAATACTATATAGTAATATTATACATAATTACATTAATATTATACAGTAATATTATACATAATTATATTAATATTATACGGCAATATTATACATAATTATATTAATATTGTACAGTAATATTATACATAATATTACACATAATATTATACGTTATTTATATATTAGTTATATACATTAATAACTGTACATTACAATTTCTTTCGTACTACTACTTTTATGAACGTTCTTTATTTACATATAACATTGATCCACAGTAACTAAGTACTAATATTGAAAATGATTCCGAATATTTGAAAATCCCAGCAACGAAACAGGTTTATTGATGCAATTCCTATGATTGTTTTGAACGACGTAGTGTTCACAAACCAAATAATGCAAATTGTGAAAGTTATTCGAATCTTTTATTTAAATGGTGAAAAATTCAATGAATCAACTTCAAGTTATATGTAAATTATTAACACACCTTTGAAATTACTTAATTCGACCATTTCAAACTAAGAAATGATTTGATACAAAATTCTGGGAGCACGAATATTTAACAATTTAACTTCTTTCCAGTTTTATCGAAAAGATCCTAAGAAATTATGTAATGTTTGCAAATTTTGTATTAAATATCAAGAATGACACATCAAAAATATAATACGTTTATTGTATGATAATACGTTAGGAATTACCAGCTTTCAATGAAAAGCTGTAAAGTCGGCCACTTGTCAATATGCCGTTCCTTCTTTGAAACTCTTATGCTATCAGGCCATTCCAGTCATCAGAGATTAATCTGTACAGAAGAAAACGAAAATTAATTCAAATGATTAAAGCTAAATTCAAATATGTTAATAAAAGGTAATAAGCGGTCGTCAATTCTGTTACAACTCTAGTACCGATTACAACGATATAACTCTAGTACTGAAATACAGTAATATGTTACAAGTACGATCAAATCAAGAAATCGACAAGAAATTTTACAACATTCTATGATATTTTACAATAATATCAAACATGTAATTAAAAAATGTTCAACGATTACACTAAAGATTAACAATGTTCGAATAAAATGAAAGTACAAACGCACATTGAGTCTATCTTCGTAACATAATTAATGTTCGCCACTACCAAATTCCGACATAGATTTCACGACTTTGGTTACAAACCATCGCGGTGTCTGCTGCTCATCCTCCAATACGACCGTTGGTGCGTTTAATACGTTCTACGTGATCCTTGGAATCAATCTGCAAAAGCAAAAATCATAAATTTAGCATGAATGTGTAAAACTATCAGAATTTATATTAAAATGGGAGAATAATCGTACTCGAATTTCAATTAAAAGGCTAAAGCAACCAAATGGAAAAATGGAATTTCAAAAAACTTGTAAAATTATTTGATTTTGCCAAAGTTATGTTCAAAAAGTTATTACATAGACAGATGTTAAAAAGATGAAGTTAGCAATCGTATATAAATGGTAGAAGGACAGAAATGAAAGTTCTCCACAACAATAAATAAAAAGAATACCTGAATTCGATCTCACGTCCAGTTGCCGTGACGTACAAAAGGAGAATGACCCCACCATATCATGGCTTCGCCTAGTTGTCAGCGGATTTTCCGAGAGACCTAGCTCTTCCCGCCATTTCCAAAGCCCGCGATAGCACGGAGATTTTCGTAAAGGTCCTTATGGTTGACGAATCACATGTCTGTGAATAGTATACAGAGTAAATCAGAATAATACGGCGAAATTGATATTCGATAATTTAATTCAGGCAAACAAAATTGTCTTGTGGCTGAACGAGGGTAATAATGTTGTACAAATAGTATCAAAATAGCCCTGAAAGTATTACGCAACACGTATGCAATACACATAACGATATGTCCTCTTACCATGATTTCCAGTGGCACAATGCTACCCAGCACTGAGAGTTAGCAAAACTGTTCCGAACAATTAACATCTGGACGGGTGCAGGCGGGCAGAGAGGCAGCGAATGCTTCTCGGTCAAGGACAAATTTCAAGCAGATAGATGTTTTTATACACTGTTTATAGTATCGTTCGTCGAACTGTAGGTCAGGGGATCATAAGGAACTTTTAATATCTCGCTTTTTGTTGGATAAAATATTCTATACAAGGGCCAGAACCGTTTGATGAGCTTATTTCATAGCAAAGTACAATATTCTGAAAAATATTATCACAGTCAAAGGTGATATATTTTAAACGTAAAAATAAATTACAAGAATAATTACTTACATATAATTCTTGGATTCGAGGAAATTAGTTTGATCTTGTGACTGAAAAATAAGTAAAAAAAAATAGTCAATGACATCATTTTAGATTTAGACAATACTGTGTTCTTGATGTGAATTTATTAATATGTGTTATATGTATTTATATTCCGTTGCAAAATGTTAATACGGAAATCGTATTAATCGTAACAAACAATGAAATAAATTTCTGTTTGGATGCACGTTTGCAAAACGTTGAATTTTTGATTACTGTGCAAAACAAACATCAAACAGAATTTAAACCGTAGCGTTATTTTGAAAATGAACGGTCAAAATTGGGAAAAAAATTATCAGAATAGTTAGAGAAGAGTCTATTCTGCGCAAACAAATCGAAAAATCCTAATCCATTACCGAAACCTGGAATATATAAGCGATAATACGAAACTATGTTAGTATACATTGATGACCACTTGTATTTCTGTCACTATTTTTTCCAAACCAACAATCAAAATCGAAAAGAAACTATCAAACTAATTACAAAGGACGCCATTCTAACGAAGTAAATCAAAAAATCCTTATCAAAGGTGGAAGTTTCAAAAAGCTAAGCCACGAAAGATAACGACGTAGTACGATCGGTCACACGTTTCCACTTTCAGCACTGTATTTCGAGAAAAAGCGGAGAAAATCGGAAAAAAAGCCACCGATTCTATTAGAGAAAAGTGAGATCTATCGAGTGATAAAGAGAAATCGAAATCAAAAATCGAAATTGCAAAGAGCTAAGCCACGAAAGAAACCGACGCAGTACGATCCGTCACACGTTTCCACTTTCGGCACTGTATTTCGAAAAAAAACGGAGAGAATCGAAAAAAAAACACCGATTCTATTAGAGAAGAGTGAGATTTATCGAGTGATAAAGAAAAATCGAAATCAAAAGTCGAAATTTCAGAGAACCAAGCCACGAAAGATAACGACGCAGTACGATCCGTCACACATTTCCACTTTCGGCACTGTATTTCGAAAAAAGACGGAGAAAATCGAAAAAAAAACACCGATTCTATTAGAGAAGAGTGAGATCTGTCGAGTGATAAAGAAAAATCTAAATCAAAAATCGAAATTTCAAAAAGCTAAGCCACGAAAGATAACGACGCAGTACGATCCGTCACACGTTTCCACTTTCGGCACTGTATTTCGAAAAAAAACGGAGAAAATCGAAAAAAACCACTGATTCTATTGGAGAAGAGTGAGATCTATCGAGTGATAAAGAAAAATCTAAATCAAAAATTGTTGGTGTATGAAAACTAAAACGATAAAGATAAAAGTACTACACAACAAAAAGTCATGATAATATACTTACGTGATATTGCGTCATACGTCCTAACGATGCCACTTTCAATACTGCATTGAAATTTACACAGTATCACAGCATCGTCTAACTGTTAGCGCGGATTGGTCGAAAAAGCTAGCTGCTTCCTCCACTTCTAAAACCCGCGACGAATCGAAGATTTGAACTTCGTAAAACATTCAGAGTTGACGCATCACATATCTGCGAATAGTGTATGCAGTAAATCAGAATAACATACGGCGAAATTCATATTCGATAATTTAATTTAGGCAAAGAAAATTGTGTTGTGGTTGAACAAACTTAATAATGTTGTGCAAATACTACCAAAATAGCTGTCGAAGTATTCCGCAGCAGGTGTGCAATATACATAACGATACGTCCTCACACCATGATTTCCAGAGATACAATGCTACACGGCTTTGTTCGTTAGCAAAACTGTTCCGATCAACGGTCGGTTAACGGCGGTGGAGCGGGGGGAGTGGGAGGGAGGTAAGGAATGCTTCACAGTCAAGGCCAAATTTCAAGCAGATTGATGTTTTTATACTGTGTTTACAGTTTCGTTCGTCGAACTGTAAAAGTCAGGGGATCAAAAGAAACTTCTAATATCTTGCCTTTTGTTGGATGAAATATTCTGTACAAGGGCCAGAACCGTTTGATGAGTATATTTCATAGCAAATTTCAGTACTCTAGAAAATATTATCACAGTCAAAAATCGTATATTTGACACGTGAAAATGCATCACTGGAATTTGCACTTACATATATTTGTTCGATTTGAAGAAATGAAATTTATTGTGGTGATTGAGAAATAACTCAAATCAATAACAATATTTTAGATTCAGATAATACGATGTTCTTGATGTGAATGTATCATTAGGTGTTAATGTAAGTAGATATATATCGATTTCCGCTGTGAAATATTAATACGGTAATCGGCCCTAACCACGTCCCAACCTCCCTTCCACTCATGTAAAAATTAACAAACAAATAAATTTCTCTTTTGATATACGTTTGCAAAACGTTCAATTTTTGATCGCTGTGTAAATCGAACATCAAAAGAATTTAAACAAGAAACCGACGCGGTAGACTAAACCTAGAAGTAAAAGATAAATTAAACCCGGAAGTAAAAGATAAATTAAACATAGAAATAAAAAATAAATTAAACCTGGAAATAAAAGATAAATAAAACCTGGAAATAGAAGACAAATTAAACATAGAAATAAAAAATAAATTAAACCTGGAAATAAAAGATAAATAAAACCTGGAAATAGAAGACAAATTAAACATAGAAGAAAGAGATAAATTATGTGAGATAATATTATCCTACAATTTCTCAATATGACACAGTTTCATTTCCATAAAAAATATACCAATCAATAACTAGGATAATAAAAGAAAACAGATGATGTTTCGTTCAAACAGCAACACTTCACATGCATATTAGCCTGAAAATGTAGAATAGTTCACAATTAAATAATTTAAAAAAGCAAAGAAAAATGAAATATCTCCCAAAGCATTAAATATATTTTTCTTCCTTAATACTACCCAATACTACTTAATGCTACCCACTTCATGCAACACTTCATGCAACCCAATATCAATTAATACTAATTAATATTACTTAAAACTAGAAATTTTACTTCACTTAAGAACTAATGTGCTAGCAGTGATCGTAACTTACAATTAACTTCATCATAATCTTAACTCAACATGAAAACATGTAACCATTAATTATCATTAATTTCAGAATAGTTTATCTATTTGTAAATCCAATTCACCTTCTATTCAATATCTAAAGGAAAAAAGACACCCAAACAACCAAAATGATCCAAAGATAACTACTACACAGGAAAATAACGTGTGACTTCTAGCTTTCAGTAATCCAAAGAACCTAAAAGAAAAATAATCAGTCCTACTTACATCGAAATTAAAGGTATTATATAATTCCAAACATAGGGAGATCAAGGATATTTTTCAAACTATCCTATGAAAAATCAGATGAATTTTTATAAAACCCCTATCTTTCACAAATATAGAGGGTTTTCGCAAAACCTTCCTATCATAAATCTAGAGAGAATTTCAAACATCCTATATACACAAGAAACCAAACATTTGATCCGGAAAATTTGGATATTAAAGAGACACTGTGTGGAAGTTGAAACCACTCACACTGTTTCCGTTGACACCATAACGTTTCCTGAATTAAACGCCCTGTAGAAAAAATAGTAAAATTATTATACATAATAGAACATATGATTATAAATAAAAATTGTGGTAAGGATAAGAGATAAATAAATGAGGCTTACACAACATTTCCCTTTAAGTCATTTCCTTTCATGAATGTTATTTCATATGTGAGCTTCTGACATACTCACATAAGTTCAAATATTGATAATGATGTTAAACATTTGCATATGAAACAGTTGCAAATGAATAAATCTGAAACAAACTTAATTAGCGGATTAATAGTTGGAGAAACAGAACAAAACAATGACTCCTGTAAGGAGACATGCCACATATTAACAAGAATTTCAAAAAAGAAAAGGAAAACAAACATATTTATATTACAGCAGTATTTTCATTAACAAATATTTCAGTGAAGAGGGATGCTGAAAAAGAAAACAATGGTGGACAAAATAGCCACAAAAACAAATAATTCCACTCGATATGAACCCGCGAAAAAAACCGAGAGTGGAATAAATAAATTGTAATTTCGCAACACTAACTGACTAAATTGTCTGATAACGGACAACTTTCAAAATCAACCGCGACGAGTACTTCCTGATATTTAAAATAACAATTAATTAAGCATTTACAAAAAAAGAACATTAAAAAGAAAAATAAACAAAAAAAGGCAGAGAACTCGCGAAAATGATCATAATAATATAATTCAATTATTAACGCAACACTAATAAATGCTAATTTATGTACTCGCATGAAAAAAATTCGCAACACTAATGACGAAAAATCCAGGGCAGCCATGGTTCTGGCTGCTGATGCATGACCACCTATATGCAACTCTTGCAGTTGCAACAAGAGATTCCCAGGCACAGGAACATATTTCCACCACATCAGTGGTGAAATTTTGGGCATTGTATATTCGCAACACTACTTCAAAATACGCGATCATTCTTCAACGCAGCACTAACTATAAAAGCATTCAAAAAAACCGCGATACAAGTAAAACGCAACACTAATTCTTAAAATGCAATCAGTAAAAGATAAAATCTGAATATGTAGAAAAAGGTACTTTGAATATTCGCGATTATATAAAAATCACAACACTATAAAGTTAATTAATATTAGTATCTATGGAAAAATAAAAATTCATTTTAAAAGAAATCAAACAAAATCGCGATCTCATAATTCGCAACACTAAATCAATCCGTGATTAATTACTCGCAACACTAAATACAAAAATCGCGATTTGCCCAAAACAGGATGATGGACGATGAACATCGGCCAGTAAACAAACTACTACTACTACAACTACATATTACTAAATATGAGCATAGTGACAAAGTAGCGACAAGAATGACTTCTCATCCAAAGGATAGGAAGCCATCCCTAGGCACCCTTTTCGTGACAGTTTGTCGGGTACCTAATAGCCTCTTCTTCTTTCTTCGGACGCCATGCCCGCTGAAACTTATATCTAGGCTCGAGATTCTCTAATCGGAAAAAAAAAAAAAAAAAAACCGCGAAACTAAACAAGACTCACATGGACGAGCAACGATCAGAGTGATCCTTGTTCGCGCACACGTGCAGAAACTCGAGCACATACACGTTCGATCACGACCACGACCGCGACGAAAATTTGAAAAAATCGATAGGTAAAGCTAGTGACGAATGGCAACCCCCAAACGTGCCAGCTTCACCGTCGACTATTCAAATGACATTTCCTGAAACAGGTTGTGCACGCGAAACGCGCCTACCCGACCTGAGACTGTGCCAACCTGCCCGGCCCTACCTACTTATAGTTAGCAGGCGCACCAGATTATACTACCTACCTAACTCCTCCTATATTTAAAAAATGGCAAAAATCAAGCATTCCAATACACCACACTCCACGGTTCTCACACATGCCACCCAGGCGCAAAGATCCTACACTACAGTAAGCGTCCCGGGACGCCCCCGACACCCGAGTTTGGCTACATACACACTCTAACTTTACGTACCATTTCCTGAAATCGGCTGACGACGGCTAGAGTCCTTTGCGTAACTCGCGATATTCATCATTCGGCAAATACGAATATTTTAAAGAGCATAATGTCGTTAAGACACGTGGCACGAGAAACAATAACATTATCGTCAATTGATAGCAAGATTTTTATTTCCATCGCGTTTATGCTATCAATAATCTGCTGCAATTGATAGCAGATTACATTCTTCTATTCCAAATAAATGTACGAACGACGCAATTCCACATCCTAATCACAGACACACTATGTGGAAAATACGTCGTGCACGATACTCTAACGCGTCGTCAGCCGCTAAGCCATTGTTATAAGCTTATGAACTACGGTCATCATGCCCATCGCCATTCACCCACTCAAGTAGCACCTGAGCACGTGAATGAGTTCCTGGCAATGAACACGGAAGGGGTTAAACCTGAAAATCCTGAGCTAGAAAACTGATTAGCGTATGCATATTATATTTAACGGACTAACGTTCTTCCATCTTGTATTTTCTCATTTCATTCGCAATGACTTTACTTTACAAGTATAACAAATTATAGAAATTTTAATATTGGAAGAAAATATTTATAATTAATAAGAAATCTATTTATCAAAAGAAAAAGAAGACTAGGACTCGACGTGATGAAATAATTGACTTAAATTTGTATAACAATGGAAATATAACAAAACCTCAGATGATTCTTTCACCAAAGTACATCATATTCGAAAGCACAAAAGTACAAAAGTTATTACTTTGGTTCCAAAATCTATCTGTCGCGAAATGTTTTCTTGCACTTAATGTTCAATGCATTTTAGCATTAACGGAATGTGACACTGATACTATTATACTTTAAATTCGACTCAGATTTATTGCGTACGAGTCAAAGAATTAAATATCTCAATATTATCAAAAAACAAAGAGTAGCATTGGCACTTGTTTATTAAAGGAACAATGAATAGCAATACATAATCACTGTTCCAATATATTAATTACAATTTTCATAATAACGAAGTCGAAGGGCATTCGACTTCTCCACTACAAAATAATCAAATATTCCAGCATTCAAATGTTCATGTCTATTATTTACAAATAACCATACTAAACATATGTTGCTTTTAAAAGTGGCTATAGTAAGAAGGAACTAACAGTCAATATTATATTATTTATGCCACTAATATTATATGTGCCAATGTACCCATTCTAGCTATTCGTATTTTTCTTATTATTGATCAAAAACGCGAAGTGCAAGAAAACCTATCCTGAATTAATAAATAAAACACAAAAGAAATGTTGTCACTATTCTCGAGTATAATAAATACCCGAGGTCACAATGCTCATAAGAAATTCTACTTAATACAACCAGTCATCCGTGTCGGTTCGGACCTTTCGACCTACGACATGATTGAATAACCAGAGGAACCGAAATGCATGCGACTCATTAATGATGCGAAGAACAATGCTGCAATGACCCAGAGGAAGTCATCGTGAAAACTGTCGTCAGTTGGGGGCTGACTTGAATAGCAGCACAGTTGTGGGATCCATGGGAAAATGAAGGCTGTAGAAAATCTGCAACAAAGCGTTCGATACTACTGTTATATCATCAAGACGCAAATATTTGAAGAGTTTAATTTCATATGATTCATATGATTGATTAGGATTTATTCAGTTGCAATATTCAATCGTACTTACATTCTTGACTTTTGGTGCAGAAATGTATCCTGTCCATTGAAGAACTGCCTTTAATGCCATCAGACTTGTCAAATCTATAGAAAAATTTGTAACATGTTGAATAATAAAATTTATTCTTAATATTTATATTCTTCTATTCTATTCTTCTGTCGAACAAATGTTAAAAAAATACTGCTGTACTTATAATGTTGTAACCATCCATTATTCTTCCTGTTGATCATTCAAGTCAGAAATAAAACACGTATTAACACCAATGAATATAATACATTATAACTATTATAAAGAATTTCTCGATCTTATCAAGCAATTAGAAATGATGTGAATGGAATACAATAGAATTTGAAACATAACTGTGCCATTAACCTGCGCATTCAGGCTGCGCATACTGGCTGCGTATACCGACCGCGCATACTATCTGCGCATGCCGTTACTTACTGACCGCGCATACTATCTGCGCATGCCGTTACTTACTGACTGCGCATACGGATTGCACGATGATATGACGCAATAATTTCCGAATATGCGTTTGAAAATTCAACGCAACTGTACTTTCGACTCTTTCGTCAAAATAATAAAGATTATTGCTTAAAATTCAAGTCAGAAATAAAACATGTATTAACACCAATGAATATAATACATTATAACTATTATAAAGAATTTCTCGATCTTATCAAGCAATTAGAAATGATGTGAATGGAATACAATAGAATTTGAAACATAACTGTGCCATTAACCTGCGCATTCAGGCTGCGCATACTGGCTGCGTATACCGACCGCGCATACTATCTGCGCATGCCGTTACTTACTGACCGCGCATACTATCTGCGCATGCCGTTACTTACTGACTGCGCATACGGATTGCACGATGATATGACGCAATAATTTCCGAATATGCGTTTGAAAATTCAACGCAACTGTACTTTCGACTCTTTCGTCAAAATAATAAAGATTATTGCTTAAGACCGAATTATTAGTATGTTATAAAATATTCGAAACCGAAATAATGTTATATGTGAATTATTTCGCTTTCGAAGTCAAATATAACAAGTTCTAATGAATACGCTTTAAAACCTCAAATTTAATAAGAATTATATATTATAAAATGATATATGAAACATATTACCAATGATGCAAAAAACCAAAGAACTTACATACACTTATTAGATCTGGCTTCATTATAGTAAATTCAGCAGTACCAGGTCTTCACGAAAACTTGGCAGATTTGATGGCGAACCAATCTGGCATCCGTACTTCGTTTTCCAATGCGTTCGTATCATCTGATACTTTCTTTGTGATTCTTACGATCAACCAATATACTGCACATACGAAAATCATAAATTTACTACAAATATGTAAAAGTATCACTAATTAGATTGAAATGTAAGAATAATCATATCCAAATTTCGTCTCAAATGCTACCGATAATTCCATCTATCTAATTCAAAAATGAAATCCCGAAAAATCTTGAAAGATTATTTAATCCTGTTGAAAAAATGTTCAGAAAAGTTTAATACAAATAGATATTAATCGGGCGAAGCTAATGCTACTGCATAAAGGACGAAGGAGTACAAATTTCACTCAATTATAGACGCGATAAGATACGTACCTGAAATTTTACCACACGTCCAGTTACCGCGATTTTCAACAGGAGAATGACCCGCTGTGTTGTGGCGCCGTCTATCCATCATCGGATTGGCTGAAATGCCTTGCAATCCCCTCCACTTTCAAAGCCCGCGCCTGAACAAAGATTTGAACTTCGTAGAGACTGTCATGGCTGACGAATCACGTGACTATGACGTATAACCGTAAAAACCAGTATAACATACTGCAAAATTTATATTCGACGTTTAATTATTGCAAAGAAAATTATTTAATAAGTACAAAATATAATTAGAAGGATTGATGCATTTAGCGTGAAATAAAATTATATTTTTTTAGGGAATCGTATATATACGTTACAGTTTCTTTCGTACGACTATTTTCATTCTCATATAACATTAATCCACTATAATTAAGTACTATTATTGAAAATGATTCCGAATATTTGAAAATTCTAGTGAACGACATTGATTTGTTGATACAATTTACATGATCATTTTGAACGACGTAGAATTCACAAGACAAATAATGCAAATTGTAAAAGTTACTCAAATCTTTACCGTTTAAAACTTTGATTACATTGCCACCTCCGCATGATGAATCTGGGAATTACAATTATTTTTCAAATGTTTGTCTAGAAAATTAGATTAAATAACTTTTATCCAAAATTCGAAAGATTTATCAATAAATTTATCTTTAGCAAAGATGCCATGCTATGATCTACACAGTACTTGCACATGTGTTGCCATAAATAATTATTATCTGCAGCTTGTCTGTTTCCTTGCATCCTATTTACAAACATTATTATTCAGTTTCGGAGAATTTCTTGACAATTATATCACAAATTATATAATTTAATAACAATAACATTTTTCATACATCAAAACTTATTTTTACTTTGAAAACAAAATACTTTATTTGAATTCATTACATTATTACCATAGTTTACAACCAGCTTCGATACTCTCGTCAGCAGCGTTATGAATAAGATAGAAATGGTAAGGAAGCATTAGTACCTTCAAATATTGGGTCAAAAAAATACATATAATGTTAAGTCTATCTTATACCTCATCTGTGATTTGACACAAAAATGCATTGAGTGATCGATCTATGCTTCACCTTATCCATGATGTCACTAGATATTACTAGCTATACTGACTCGGAAACAATAGAAGCCATATATTTTTAATACGATTGATTATTTCAAAAAATAACTTTGTAACGTAAAAGATGTATTAAATATTAGATCACAGAAAAAACTAGATAAGTTTACTTTACGTTTCATGTATTTCTGTATGTACTTCACTTACTATCACTAAAATACATTATATTACACAATAATAAATATCATGGGATTTTATTTTGTAAACTTTATAACAATGTAGCATCCTTGTTTCATGTATAGTACACATACCCAGTATATAATTACAAAGCTCCGACCTGCAACATATTAAGAAAATGTGTTAATGTTATTCGCGTTATATTGCAGTTTCTTATTATCACTGATACGATTATATTACCGTCATAATACTTACAACCATCAACATTTATCTAGTCTAAACATCGTGGTAGCTCTACAAGCTTCAAAATTCTGTATCAGATAAAACCTATAAATGTAGTGCGTATTTGACGCACCAATTTCCATAATATCGTGAACCTCGACGCAAATCCAATAGTCTATTATCAGCTATCGTATATGAGCATAACGGTCTAAATCGATATTCGTTATCGATCGGTAAAGATTCGCCTAACCGAGAGTCTCGTGGACGGTAACGAAGAAAAGAAAACACTTTCGCTGCGTAGAAAATCTACGGCTGTTAAACGTATACGTCCTCGTTCGTGACACCTAACTTTGGTACGAACCCTTCATATCGATCCACCGACAGCTTGGTACTCTCGACAGCACTAGGACGCAAGCTCGACTCGCAACGAGGATTCGTGTAGTAGAGGGGAGATTTGTTCTCTCTTTCGTTACTGCTGGCAACTTCCTTTTCTCTCTTTTCAAGCCTCCCCTCTCGTCCCGTTCGTTTGCAACACCCCTCGATCCCAATGTTTCTTTCACTCCCTCTTTCTCTCGCATCCTCACGAGGAGGAGGACGAGAAGCAGGAAAGATGAGCGATCAAGAGGATCTCGATTACTACATCAAGTTCCCGTCGTTTCCACCATCCCCGAAGGATCCAACGTTAACCACCGGTAGCCAGGATCAGCGTGAAGAATTCGTGTTTGTCTACAAAGAAAACAAGCGACCGGTAATAGTACTACTTGGATGGGCCGGTTGTCAGGACAAATATCTGGCCAAGTACAGTGCAATTTACGAGGAAAAGAGGTACCGATATTTGCTAAACTCTCCCTTAAATTGTTTCTGATTCACCGATTACCCTTTTTAACCTTATTTTTTATCGTTTGAAAGAACCAGTAATTAATATCGAGGTAATCATTTTTTCACGAATATTCGTGGTGAATAATTTTTTGAAGTTAGTGTGTGTCAGTAACGATTTGACAAGCAAGAAGAAAAGTAGAAGAATGAACATATATAGGTGAAAATATCTTGTAACAAGAATTAGAGTAAGGCGTTGAATTTCATAGAATTGAAGTAAATTGCAAAACGTGATGAAAAATACCAACGAACATTCCAACGTCACTGTTTATTTAACCAATAACAATTGAAAATTTGATTTCTGAAATTAATTTTATAATTTATTCGACGTATGATATAATGTAATAATTATAGAAAACAATAATTATATAGATCAATAATTATAGTAATAAATTAGCAAACTCTCATGAAAGATATGCTACTCAATTTTGTTTGTATTACTTTTCTAATACTTTCATATGTAGAGATTTCCAAATTATTTAGCGTATATATCGATAATTGATTTTCATCTTTCAAGCTGCATCACGCTACGATACACAGCGCCGGTGGAATGCTTATTTTGGCGAAGAGACAAAATGCTTTATATCGGCAAACGATTGATCCAGGTGATCACTGACAAGAGTTTAGATCAACACCCAATATTCTTTCATGTCTTCAGTAATGGTGGCGCGTTTCTATACCAACATGTGAGCCTTGCCATGCAACAAGCAAACACACCGCTTGAGGTAAAAGATACTGTTACCTTTCACCTTTTAAAAATGTCCCGCTTTGCTATTTCACGTAATACACATTAATATACATTGAAATTATAGGTCAAAGGAGTAATATTTGATAGTGCACCAGGAGAAAGGAGATTAACCGAAGCTCTTTTCAAAGCAATCAGTGCGATCATCGGGGGTCATCCACTTACAAATATACCGATGTCCTTCTTCATTACAATTTTCCTCTCTATACTTTGGTTCTTAGAGGTATTAACAATAATATTACATTTCTTTTATATCGATTTTTTTTTTAAACTTCCTAATGAATTTCAAATTTTTGAGTCATATTTTTATATAAATTTTAAGTTTATAGTACTGTTTTTATTTATCTGTTTTATGCTCGGAAACTTACTAGCTTAAACGAGTAAACAAAGTAAAAATAATATTTAATTTGTTAAAATAATTAAAATTACAAATATATCGTTTTTTCTTATTGCTAGTTAGTAATCATAAAATAATTATATGAGCTTAGCAAAGATTACAAATTATCCATTGTCTAGGTCATCGCTCACGCTCTCGGCCGTGGTTATCCAGTGCAAACGAATCCAATCGGTCTTGCTGAAGAATCTTATTCTTGGCCCCAATTGTTTCTTTACTCTAATGCTGACACTTTAATTCCGGCATCGGTACGTCTTTCTTGTCAATAAATCGTGATAACTATAAAATTTAATGAAATCTAGATACATCTATATATATTTGCTGTTGTTACGTAAGCTTACATGTTATTGTTTCGTGTGTTTAAAGGATGTTGAAAAGTTCGCGAGCCGACGTGCAGAACGCGGTGTTCGAGTACAGCTGGTGCTTTTCACAAATTCTCCTCATGTTAAACATTATGCTACGTATCGTGACGCCTACGTAAATACAGTTTGTAGTTTTATTCATGAATGCCTGACGTCACAAAATTCTGAATGCTTGGAATTATCACAAAGTCACGATGTAGAGAATAATTCACAAAACTATGTCACTTTACCGAATCTTACCAAGAGAGTTATACTACCTCAGGAGGCCACTAAGTTAAATTAGAAAGAAAGGAGAGAGAAAGAGAGAAAGAGAGAGAGAGAGAGAGAGAGAGAGAGAGAGAGAGATATTAATAATAACAGCAATATTGTCAACGGAAGAATCGTGTTCCGTACAATTTTGCATGTACGATTATACGCAAACAAAAGTGGACAAACTGGAAGGCTAAGAGAATCGAAGTATCGTTTATTTTTTTACCTTAAAACTTGTATGTTTGAATATTTGATATGAATATTTTGGACAGCGTTGAGTTTTGATTATTTCAGATTTTTCTTATTTGTATTGCCATTACGTATAATGTGCGAAGCGTGTTAATTACTGAAAATACGTTTAATATAGAATCAATTTTTATCAGAATAACTTCACTTAATTTGTAGTTTTTTTATGTTTTATAAGCTACTGTGGTTTGTATTCTATGTTTTTTTTTAATAATTATTGAGAATTTAAAAATAGATTTATGTATGATTACATATTGATACTTACGTATTATGATATATGTATATTGTAAACGCTCGCAAATTTTATTCTAAATAGTTTAATATATATATGAACAAGACTCAATACTGATTCACGTATAAAAATAAATTAATATTTTAAATTCTTATAGAAATTTTAAGAACTAAACTGAACTCGATCTCTCGTTCCTCCTTTTGTCCTATTATATTTATTCTATTTCCGCTTGGTATTTCCTTCGTATCTTCCAGTTTCTTCCCTCGCTGTGTGTTCTTGAGCGTCGATGTGCCTGAACTTCACAAATTGACACGATTGCGTTTTTTTTCGAGAATAAGAGAAAAAAAGCTACACGTTCGAATAATTATACGATCACATACAAGAATACGGAAATATTCGGAATTTCCAACAGAGTAAACGAAATAATGTTGCCATACATTCTGAATTTCCACGTTTAGAATATTCCGTAACTTTGTGTAGTGAGTTAAAATAAAAACTCTAGATGCACTTGACAGCGAATTAAGGTGAAAAATTAAAAATTAGAAACCTAGACGCTTGTTGGTACGATCGAAGTGCGCACAAGAAATATACGTTATTAATTAAAATCTACGAAAGATCATTTCGAGACATTCCAATTCAAACGTAAACAAGTTCGCACAAAAGGATCAAGCTGGTCTTGATTTAGCTTTTGATTTGATTGCGGTTGTAATTAAGTAACGACGAAACAAAGGAATTTTCATGTATCCCTTCCTATTGAATAATGTTATATCTCTACACAAGTAAAGACACACACGTACGCGCGCGCACGCACGCATGCACGTGCGCGTATATATATGTACGTGTATATATATATATATATATACGTATATATATATACATATATATGTATATATTTTGATCTGTCGATTAGTTACAAATAAAGACTGATAAATATATATAATTTGTTGCTTAATTGAAAATAAGGAATTGGGTGAAGTGAACAAGTTGCAAAATATTTATACATTCTTGCATTTTTTTCATACAGCTAAGAATAAACTATAAAACATGACATTTTTTGTTTATAAAATAGAAATTGTTATACATTTATGAAAAATTCGTACAAAATATAAAAACATTATTTTTTTACAACACTATTTATATTACATTCCTATAGTTAAAAGTTTTTGTATGTAAATTTGAAATTATTATCTCATTTTCTGTAATAACTTATTAATTTAATTATTTACACATAATAAATAATAAAGAAATTTCATATTAATAATTTATTTTAGTTATAATTGTCCTGTACATATAAAATGATAGAAGTAATAAAAATTTAAAAACAGCACATACAACATCAAAATACATTGTTCAAATCGTATACGATACAAAAAATTGTTATAATTTACCTGAAATACAATCATTATCACTAAAAGAAACTTCTTGCAAATTTCCATAACAACCAATTTTTTTTTTAATTAAATCCCCCCATAAAACATTGGTATCACAAACAGGGCAAATACCTTCGATTGGTAAAATCATGTTATCTTTACAAAATAATTGTGCTAAACAAATTAAGTGAGCTACTAACAAACAGCTAGGTTTTATACAGGCAATTGATTGTTCTTTTTCTAAAAAGGAATTACAAAGAGAGCAAATTATAGATGATTTATCCAATGTTTGCACTATGTCATCAATTTTCTTAATCTTTTGGGAAATTACTTTTCCACAACATATAGGCATATGCATTGGTGCTGAAACATAATTAGCATACACTTCAAAGAACTCATAGTCCAACCAACGTATTGTTAAAGGTAAACGACACCAGGGCCCAACTTTTAACATGCCTGATAAAACCAATAAGTAAAATTCAAACACTTTCTGTTGTGATTTTTTCTTGGGTATATGTTTTAAACGTCGACTAATATGAGGATGTTGCCAAGCCCATTCGAACTAAAGATAAATATAAATTAAGTTAAAAATACAAAAATTATGAGTAAATGTAATTCTTATTTTTCTTTTTTATAAAATTACATGAATTTACCCTAAGTGCAGATGTACTATTTGGAAAACCATGTATAATTAATACCATATTCCTAAAAAAAAATTATGGTTTTTACAAAATTATGTATACTTAATATAACCCTAAAAATTATTTTATTATTATATTAATAATGTTTTTTATAACTAATTAATAACTAGATAATTACCATGGTCCTTTATTACTTGTTTTCCAAGCACCTTTATGATCTTTTCCAGCATTATGTTGTTTAAGTCTACGACAAGGATCAACTGTATATCCTATGTATGTTCTTCCTTTATATTTTGGATTCATACAATATAATAAATAAACACCATAAAAATGCTCTATCACATCTGCATTTGCCATTTCTAAATTTCTTAAATATAATGTAAATATAACCTAACTTAATCTAAAATTCTGGTTTCAAAGTTAGGTTATATGTATATGCCAAATCGCTTAAAAAAAAAATATATATATATATATAGAAAAAACTCTATAATTAACATTTTAATAAATAGTATACATATTATTATATACTTTTATAGAAATTTAATTTAATAACCTGTTCAATCATGATGTAGATTCTATAGCATTTCTAGAATGACAAGAGGCAGTTCCGTTATAGCTCGAGATATTAATAATTTACAAAAGAGTACTGTGTACAGCCATTATAACAGTACTGCAGCCCTTGGATTATTCTCCTCTCTTATGCTTTAAATTCCACAGTAGTTCTAGAAAAATCAATGTACAAATCAGTTATGTCCAGAGATATTTACAATTCCATAAAAGATAAAACAATAAATTAAATACAAAGATTACTTAAATAATACAAACAAAAATTGAAATGAAAAAGCTTTATAATTAACATTTTAATAAATAGTATACATATTATTATATACTTTTATAGAAATTTAATTAAATTTAGGTTATCATTGTGCAATACATAAAAATTATATTTCGTAAATAAATATACATAAAAATGTAAAAAGTTCTAATATAATGTATTTTCTAAAATGAATAGATAATATTTTAATGTTCGTATTTATAGATGTTTGTATGTTACAATTTTTTAAACTTATTTCTATAAATTCTTTCATCTTAACTTTTGTAAAAATACGTTACCCAAATTACATTGTCAGTTATAACACACTAAATTTTTTTAAAATATTAAATATTATTACTATAAATTATTGTGTATCTTTTACTCAAAAAATAAATTAGAACCAGTAGAATTTTGACATCGATATCACACTAATGATAAAATAATTTACTGAAAGGCGCAAGCGCTATAGTAGTAAAATTCTGTAATTTATCAGACTACTGTATTTTTTATGGTCGTAATTCTTGTTTCATATAAAAACAACAAACCACTAATGAAGATAAATAATAGATCAACAGGAATAATCGATGTTCTCACAAATGCAATTAAAAACGCCGCGTGGTTAGTTGCAGCACTATTGAAATTGGGCTTTGATCTTGATTGGATACAGGTCAGCAGTGATCTGTATACGAGGATCCAGTAAGAATGGCTGCCGTTTTGAGAAGATTCAGAGCCGCGCAGATCACGGTGATCGGCAAAACTAAACTACCGTCATTTATTACCAGCCGGTAGGCGATCACGATTCAAAAACATTGTGGAGCCCTTCTTTTTTATATGTTTCGTGTATAGACTACACGAGATAGTCTCTAAACGGCGGCTTTTTAGGGCAATAGCCACATCGTGTGTGTTGTAGATCTTTTGCAAGGTCATCGATCCGACAGGATATCAGCGAAGGATGGATAAACAAGCTTTTCGTAAGAAAAATCGAGCCAACCAAAGAGTCTCATTCAAGGATGCTGTCAGATAAAGGTGTTATTTACGCGTTACACACGCACAATATTCGACCTGATTCCATTGATAACTATTTGACCAATTAGTAAGTAAATTTTGTTCATATTTTTCACCATAGTGTCAAAAATCATAGCTTTAAATCGTAAGCACATTTAAAATATAAATCTTTCCAAATTCTTTTTAAAGTTTCAATAAAATGTTAGATTTTGTTTATGTCGCAGAATTGGCATGCACAGAGAATTCTTTTATATTAGGAAAATTATATTGGGACATGTTTGTATTTTGGGATATTACAGTGAAGAGATTGTTAACATTATAAACTCCAAGAAGTCTGAATTGAAATTGGAACTAGTTGGTTCATGGACTGTCGTAGCTGGTGATATTGATCAAGCTTTGCACTTATGGCAATATTCTGGTGGCTATGATAGTGTTGATCGCACACAAATTGAATTGTCTAAAAACAAAGTATGACAATTAATAGAAGTTTATTTATATGTAGAAATATAAATTAAACATTCTAAAACACAATATTTTTTCTTTTCAGGAATATCAACAATTGTTCAAAGAAAGTGGCAATTATTTAAGATCTCGTTACTTACAATATTTATTGGCATTTAGCTATTGGCCTCCTCTTACAAAACGAAATGGTTCAAATATTTATGAAATACGTAGTTATAGACTGAAGCCTGGTACTATGATAGAATGGGGCAATAATTGGGCAAAAGCCATTAATTATAGACGTAACAATAATGAACCTTTTGCTGGTTTTTTTTCACAAATTGGTAGATTGTATAATGTTCATCATATCTGGTGTAGGTATTATTGGTTGATATCTCCCATATGTTATCTAGATTCTTCTTTTATAAATGAAATTAATAATATATATCAAATGGTATTAATTTATACATATGTATGCATTATGTACTTAAAAATTAAAAAATCAATTTTAGGCTATAAAAATCTCCAAGCTAGAATGGAAACTCGTGAAAGCGCATGGAGATCTCCAGGATGGGATGAATGTGTTGCCTATACTGTACCTTTAATCAGAGAAACACATTCCCGTATATTAAGCCCAACTTGCTTTTCACCAACAAAATAAGATCTCATATTTATAATTCTAAATGCATTTTTATATTAAAATTTATTCTTTATGTTTACATTATAATACTGTAAAAAATATTTGTTATATTACATATTACGTTTATAAGTGTATAAAGTAAACGCTCAATATGAAATTAATTGTAGCATTTTGTTGTATTGCAATTACTGAAATGTATTTTAATAAAATTTAAATTTCTTTGTTACTATAATGCTTTCTGATATGTTCTTATTGTTAATCTGAATACAATGAATATATTGAGCACTGTATTCTAAACATTTATATTTTTGTTTACTCAAATGTAATATTTATAATTAAATTAGTCTATTAATATAATTCATATTTCGTAATATGTTATTGGTGAATGACTTACTGAAATGTTTATAAATATTTGATAATATTAATAAAAAATTTTGAATACCATCGAAATAGATTATAATAAAAGAAGTATGGGAAGGTCATAAAATGTGCATAATTATTAAATATCATTTATTTTTATTATCTAATTACTTTGATCGACCTAAACTGTTTATTTTGAGTGAAAAACATATCTTTCTCTACAGTCATGATTTAAAAAAAAACATTAATTCAACTAAAAAATAAAATTGTTATAATAAACAAAGACTAATTACAAGTATAATTTGCATTTTAGATTTTATTTTAATGTAATTCCCTCATAAGATATTAGTCTTTAAACTTTATTAATTAAATTTTATAAATATATACATATAAAATAACATAATTGTCATTGTAATAAAGAATATTGATATTATTGAATTATTGATAGACTATTTTATATTACAGAAAAATGTTTTATGTGAGCATATTCTGTACTTTGTTCTTTCAATCACTTATTAACATAATTAATGGATCAATTCAATTTAAAACACTTTAGCATTGTTTAAATTTTTACTATATTATTTGTAAAAAGAATTTTAATTTGATACATTAAATGTAGAAGCTAGAACTATATTATTATATATGTTATTTTTCATATATTTTTTTAAAATATAAAGTCAATAAGTAAAAGAGCATTATTTTATAAATTACAACGTATGTTTCATTAAAAATTATTGCATTAATATATGCTGTATGAAATTCTTTATTGTACAATCAAAACTTACTTTGTTTTATGCACTTAACAATTATCATGATTCATTCAGCTGATGCAATACAATGCTGATGCATTTCAAAAATAGAGAAAGTAACAAATGAAGTGGAATTTGAATAATAGTTAATTTTTCTTATAATAATGCAAAGAATGGCGCAATATCGGAGGACTTATATGCTCAATGATATTGAAAATAGAAAGCATCTTCAGAACACAAAAATAAATATTGATAAAATATTTTTACGAATATTTACAGTATACAAATATATATACAGAGCATTGATAAACATTTTACTATATAAAAAAGATTAAAATAAGCTATAATAAAATCCTATGTCAGTACAAAAATGTTGACATTTAGTTATTCCATGTCAAGTGATTATAATATATTCTTATATTAATATTTTATGCCAATGTATGTTATTTATTACCTTACAAGATTTTCACAATACCACTCAATGATTTCTATATATCAAAGTGGAATGAAAAGCTTAATATTCTAAGTGATTGTGAAAATTCTTATTATGGTATTCCCTATTAATATTTAAATGGAAAGATTTACTATGATAACTAAACAAGCATTATAGTATATGGTAATACAAACCTAATTTATTTAAATATTATCTTTAGTTGCATTATAAATTAAAAAGAAAAAATAAGTAAAAAGTTCAAATTCAGAATATTCATATTATATTAATGTTATCTGCAATAAGATACACAATTATTAAAAATAATAGTTTTGTAAAAAAGGCTTTTATTAAGTAACATTAATATATTTATATTTTACTTCATTTTAATTTTGAAAACTGAAACCAAATTTACTGTAATAAAAAAATTCATATTTTAATACTAAAATTGCTTAATAAGTGTTAACAAATTATTAGTAATTATTAGGAAAATAACTTAGCTTAAAAATTTTTTTAAATAATATAGCTTTAAATTCCACATTAATGTTAATAGTAATCTATAAGTTTCGTTGCTTTGTGCAAAACCATCTTTATTTTATATTTAAAGTTATGCTTAAATTATTATTCTAACAAATTTCAACAATTCTTTAAGTGATTTAAGATATGTTTCTTTTAACTGTTAAACAATTAAAAAATTATATTATAAAGTTATATAACATGTAATCATTTGACATAGAATGGTTTTATTAAAACTTCTGTTAAAATTTAATCTTTAATGTCATGCAAAAACTATTGAAATCAATAACTGATAACTTCTCGTAATTTATTAGTCTTATCTTATATCTATATATAAAGTTTTGTACCAAATAAAGTACAAACAATGTAATATCAATTTAAAAAACTTAACTACATTTCTGATAACATCAAGTTATCAGAAATTATACATGACAATTTAATTTGATTTTTGTAGATCAAAATTGTAGTAAAAATTAGTATTTATATAATATATCAAATAATATTGCAAATACATTATACATATACATACATTTCCAAAAAATGTAAGATAAAACAACTTCATATAATATAATACTAGAAGTTTAGTTGATTATTTAATGAAAGGCAAATTATTAGTTTACCATCCTTTCATTGATATTTGTAATTTTAAAATTATACTATTAATTTTGCATAAAAATTTTATTTTTTTAATCACAAAATATATGCATATATTGCCACGAAATCTCTCATTAATCTCCATCTATGTGTGCTCTGAAGTGTTTTTCTATCCTCTAGAACTTGATCAATATTAACTCTTAAATAGTGGTTATATTTCTCACATTATAAATTATAAATTATTTTTCTTGTTAGAAAATAGCAGTATTAAAAACAAAAATTATTATCAAAAATTATATCCATGGTATATTAATGTATTTACCAGTATATTGGTTGTTTAATAAAAGCAACATCCTTTTATTAGTTAATATCATAATATAAAAATAATGTTCAAATCTCTTCATTTTTAAATTGACTTGAAAAAATATTATACATTTTAGCTCAATATTAGTGAATATACTGTAATAAAAATTGAATCAAAACTTAGAAATCACACATGGATGGAAATAAGTGAGAAAGAAACTGATAAAATATTTATATTGATTATAAGTAGTGATTAATAATTAATAACTGATATGCTATGCCTATATTTAAATGGCTAGCTTACATATCACTTTTTAAATTCAAATTATCAAGTTAATAGCCATAGCTTTGGAGAATTGAATAAATTCTATTGTACTAAATCCTAATCTTCATAATTAAGATTCAATTTAAAAATCTTACACATAATGAATGAATATTTACAAAATACTAGTAACAACAAAAAGTAATATCCTAAATTAATATTCAGCAATTTATAATAGTAGCCACATGGTTGTGATCAAAAAATTGTTTTTCTTTTTTTCTTTAATACATACATACAATCAGACTTATAAAAAATCAGTGCCACACTTAAGAAAAATATTTATAAAACTTAATAATTAAAATTTATATAGTAATTAAAATATATGTGATATTATTTATATATTTGCTTACTTCATCAAATTTAAAATAAAATAGCATAACTTGTCCAAAACAAAATATCATTTTAGTAATTCCTTATACTATACACACTTCTTAAAATTTAATAACTATTTCTTTTCATATAAATGTGTATTATTTTTTTCTATGTAAATAAAATTAAAAGAATTTATTTACAATTCTGTAACATTAAATTTTATTTTAATGTATATATTAGTCCTTTTATGCAATCCATAATTTTTTAGACAAATTTACTAATTCGTATTAAAAAGATGTTTTCAATATAAATTGAAAATACTGCAAAATTTGATATACTTCTAGTATTTTTAATTTTTATTTTGGATTTAATATTTTTATAAGATTAAAAGAATATTATGTGTACACTTACAACTTTCATAAATTATAAAATTTGAAGTCAAATGTAATTCAATTTCTATTTGTATCTTAACTTTTAAAATATAACATAATTTCAAAATTACTGCTTTAATAGTTAAATGTAATATTTATTATAATAGTTTTTATTCTAATCTATGTTATAAGTCATGGATAGCCTAAAACACATAAATTTTAATTTTATGTTCAATGATGCATAAATTTATATTATTCTTATTCATTTCCCTAATTTATAATATAACAATTTTTATAAATCTATATGTAAATATAAAATTTTGTATTTTAAAATGCTTATACCTTTAATAAATTATTTTTAGTAAATCATATCCCTATAAAAAATGAACTAACAATACTTTTTACATGCAACATAACTTTCTTTTTTATTTGAAATCATAATTCGAATTTTTGTTGTAACTATATAAAATATAAAAATTATTATAAGAATGAATATAATAATTATCTAATTTGATCGCAATATTCAAATAATGTATTTTAAATAAAATATATTTACAAACTATGATGTCAAAATACTTTTCCTATAACTCTATAATAATTATTTTATGAAAAGATATATGGATTGCCTATGGACTAGGATTGAACTATTATGACTTATTGTATTTACTCATATCACAACATAAAATGTAGCACAGATATCTCTATAAGTCTGCACTGTTTATTATCAGTTATAGTAGTTCACTAAAAATCTCTATTATATTCAAATATCTTCCTAAGAGAAATCAAAGAAAGAATTTATAAGTGATATTAATATATAATGCTACAGGCTTCATTGCAATTAATGCTACATTTTTCTGATATATAATGTGTGTATATATTTACATACTGTATCATTACAAAAAAATGATTCAGTTGATTGCAACTATCTTCATTCAAAAAGTTTTGAACACATACATATATGTTTTCCTTATTTTCGTTTTGACCATTTATATTATTGTAATTGAACACATTCTTAACTTTTGTAATATACTCTATTTATTAAGGAATTTTTATCTTTTAATTAA